GTCCCGTCACTACTGGACTCCTCCACGTGGAGGGTGGTGAAGGTGGATGGGACGGAAAAAGAAAATCACCCCATCCGCTACCTCCCAATGCGGTTACCTTTCGAGAGAAAAAAAATAAAAAGAAATCATAGGCAAAGAAAAAAAAATGTAAACAAAAACATTACCACTCTCTTTTATTTAACCTCATCCTGTCGCACATTATTTCCACAAGCTTTTAAAAATAATATAGTCTAGTCTTTGTTTCCCCCACCCACTCCCATACAAAAAAAAACAGAATAAAAGTAAAAAATAAATAAACATAGATAGTTTTTTTTTTATTTTATTTTCTCTTTATCACTATCATCAAGAAAAAAACAAAAAAAAACACTGTGATGAGTTTCAAATACTCCCCATTCTCTACAAAAACCGTGTTGCTACCTTGCAAAAATGTGTTGAAAGCGCTTTAACCCGCCCCAGCGCGCGAAGCTGAGGCGGAAGGGCCAGGCGGTTCTTCAAAACCCACACCTTAACACACAAGTCTTTTCAGATACAAATGAGAACAAAGAATTATACAAATTAAAGAATCATACGCAGCAAGACCACACCATTCCCACAGTAAGCTCTCAGTATGCAATCCGTAAAGGTAAAAATCTTTCCAATGCATGCCTGTTTTATTATTTGGCGATGAAAAACTCCCGAGTATCTTTGTGGTTCTCGAATACCAAATTAACAGGCGTCCGTCGTTTCTGAGCGCTGTAGAACCCTACAACGGCGTCACGCAAATGGGGCTTGCCAAAGAACAGGATCGGTACCGTTCTAAACAGTATAGATAAGCATAAGTTTTCCACTATTCCCAACCCCACTCATTTTATGAGTGAAACACCCCCGGGAGCCACCCCATCACCCCTCTTCTTCTTGTTGCGCACAAGACGCTGTGACAAGTTGGCCGCCCGCCTTGGGTTGTGGGGGTTGTGTTCTTTCCTCCTCTCCCTTCTTGGGGTGAGGGATAAAAAAAAAAAAGGAAAAGGGCAAAACCCGACAACGAGCCTCGAGCATTACGCGCGTAGACTGGTTGCCGGGTTTCATCCTTTTTTTTCCCTCATCCTCACTCTTCTTTTTCTCTCAAGTTCAAAGCCCCTGAGCATGATATTTCAGGCCTCAAGGTTCAGCGCCTCGGGACGTAAAGTGCCCCACCTCGAGCCCCGCCGAAGCGAAGCATGCCGCTTACACACAAACCCCCACAGAGGCCGCAGTGGAGTGGTCCAGCAACACAAAGTGTCCTTCCCACTCACAGTGCACACGCACGCACACAATGACAGTCTCACATGCTCATGTCAGAGAGGCATTGCGGTATTCACTAAAATGTACACTAAGTCACACACCTACAGAGAGGAAAAGAAAAACACAAAAAAAGAAAAACAACAACAACAGGATACCAACAGCACACAAAGCACCCACAATAATCACAGCTGACACTCCCATCAGAGAAAAACAATCACACACACCAGCACATCAACTCAACCCCAAAAAGAAAAATAGAAAAGAACAGACCCATTACGTGAAGCCGAAGCGGAACAGTCCCAGTCCACCTCTCCGTAGGACGCAGTCACTCAAGCAAGCCACACAACAAACACCACAAGGGCAGAAATATGTTCGTGACACCACCGGGAGAGAGAGAATGTGAGAACAAAGAAATGTGTTTTCATTACGTGGGCGGTGCAAGTAGCAACCCAAACACACAAAGGAACACACAACAGAGGGGCACACTCAAACACCTACACAACCCACCAATCTTTATACCAAAATAAAAATGTAAAAAAAGAGTGACTGCGTGAGGCAGACACAATAATAG